TTTAGAAAGCAAGGAACTGTTTCGGAGGAAAGTTTCAGAAATGCAGATTTTAATGGACTCATGTAATGATATCGATACAATTTCTTCTGTGGTTTCACATTTGTCATCTGCAATTTGCCTTTTAAAAGCTGAAAATTCGCGTGACAAAAATAATAGAGAACAAGTTTTGCCAATTCGAAAAAGGCCAGCACCAAATTCAAACAGTGAGAAACAATTAAGGTTTCGAAGTACTAAGAAGAAGAGGGTATCGTTATCAAGATGGGCTAAGCCTACTGCAGAGGAGGAGAAGAGAGCAAAGGAGAATATGTTAATGACGTCAAACTCAATTGAAGTTTGTGGTGTATGTCTTAAAGTAGATGATCAAAATCAAGAGGATGTAGTTGAGTGGATAGAATGTGAAAAATGTAATTTATGGGTACATGTAGCTTGTTCACATGACAATGTGTGTGTGCATTGTATGAAGATCAGAGTCTAACATTAAACCTCCATTTTTGTTACCAATACTGTCTTTATAGCTCTGTCTCTCTCACTCACATCAATTATGAGTTATAACATTAATTATTTTGCTTGCACTGTATTAATTATCAGTTGTAACATTAATTTTTTGCTTGCACTGTATTTTAGCCTAGATAGTAATAACTATTGTGTAAAATTATAACTATAGTAAAGCACAGAGTCAATAATTACACTCTAAAAAAGTATTATATATTATGGTTGTGGATAAATGTCTTCACTTGTATGACTTGTCTTGATAAACTGACATGATCATTGTAAAGAAAAATTATCTTGATTTACTAACAGCCATAATCCACGTGCTAAAACGTGAGAGGGTGTGGTTAAAAATGGCCACACCCTAAACTACAAAGATATGCGGACTTTTACTAATGGCTAACGTACTGCAATTAATGGCTAGTAGAGTAAATTTAGAAGCCATTATTTTGAACTAATGGGTGGGGCTGACAATACTCACGTGACTATTACCACACCCACTTGTGATCATAAAATGCCAGCTCAGCAATAAAAACCCCGATGCCGCCCATTGCAGTGCATCTGGTTTCTGCTACATGTCTATAGTATGGTATTATTGGCTGTACCATAGTGTTGAGGAATCTTCTTAAACTGTTTTGTAAAGTAAAATACAAACACAAAATACACAAACATAACACATATAAAACATAAAAACATTAAGTAATGTCATTGCTCCAGTAATCATTATCTTATTCATGTATCTACTAATGTATGGGATAAGGTAAATTATTGTGATGACTGATAACTTACATGAAGCAGCAATCCTGTCAGCTAATGTAGAAAGAACAACATGATCCTGTTCTCTCAGTATAGACAAGAATGTACTAATGTGATCAGGACAAAGTTCAATTAATAATGTAATATTTCCAATAAAAAGTTCTACTCTTTTTGATAAAGACTGGTTATTCATTCCATCAAATAACTCATCATACTGAGAAGAATCAATAATTTGTACTTCCTTACAACCATTAGCTATGTCACGAAACTTTGCTTCTGAAGTTGAAAGGAAGCGTTTCAGATCATTAAGGTGCTTCTTGAGGTCATTATGTGAACCAGGAATAGGAACATCTTTAGTACCAACAGAATGAGGTGCATCTACATGTATACATTATATTAACTATTATTGATATAATACCAAAAATACATGTACATACCTTGTTTTAATAAATTTCCCAGTGATCTGTTAATGACAATTTCCATTTGTTCCTGTACACCTTTCAATGGTACAGAATAACTCAAGTTAGGTACAGTATGGGGACTATTCTCAGCATATATTGATACCAGGCAAGATGGAGGAATTGCAGTACTAATGTCACCAAAACCAAGAATTTCGTGCTCTTTAATCTATTAAAATAAAATTAACTAATTGTCCTACGGATGAAATAAATTACTTGACATGGCATCAAATGTGGTTTTACTCTCCATCCAGTTGTTGGTTCTGGTTGTTGCTCATCTTTAAATATTAATTCAATACATCCTTTTGGTGACTGAAGTTTGAAAGTGATGTTTTGATCAAACTCTGCATGAGAATATTCCTTTTTAATATACTAATAAATAATTGAAAATTATGAAAAATGATAAAGGTACATATAAATAATTCAATATACCTGATGTAACGCATTCAAATCTCTCACAGCTGCAAATCTCATTTTATCTGCTCTTTGATAAAACACTTGTCCAGCATACACTGTAGCTTCAGGTATACCAGTGGAATGAGTAGATACAACTATAAAAGTCGAAAGTGAATTTGTTACTAATCAATTTCAATATTCATAGGCTCACTAGTTTTAGATTGTGATGAACTTAATTCAGAGTCTTCAGTACAATCCACTGGACCCTTCAACCCATTCCCTTCCTCCTCTCTATCACTCTTTCCTACTCCTCCTGCTTCTCCTCCTTCTTGTCCTCCTGCTCCTTGTCCCTCTCCTCCTCTTGTCTCTCCCTTTCCTTTCCCTCCCTCATCTCCTGAGTCTCCATCTTCCTCTCCATTCCTCTCCTCATTCCTACCTCCTCCATTTTCCTCTTCTTCCTCCCCAACAATAGCTAATTGACAGAACTTGCTTCGTTCAATCCATCCATATCTCTGGTATGCTGGAAACTCCCCTCCTTCAATTAGTGAGAACTGGTAAGGAAGACTAGCTGTGTGAACTGGAGCAACAGCAAATTTAAGATACTTGGATAAAGAAGGATCACTGAGATCAATACAGTGTTGCATTTCTATCCTCAGTGACTTGAGGAGTGGACTGGTTGATATTGCATACACTGCACTCACTAGTCTAGTATTATCAGGAAACCTATAAAGGAATTAATAACTAAAATACATGTACATGTATATGTGATTTTTGTCAGGTAATTTTTTGTTATTTCATGCATCAAAAATGAAATTAGGTAAAAAAATTCCTCATAATCATTAATATATTGTTCTAATTGTTAGAGAAAAAAATTTATAATACAGTAATATTTTCTTTACTAGACACATAAATACTAAATTATTAATTGTTTTCCCTCACAATAATTCCCCACTAACTATACAGACATTACTACATGTACAGTATATGTACTTGAAGTGTCCTCCTACAAGAGCTAGTACTGATACTTCTACAGTCTCTGAGGCTGATAGACTATCCTCTGCTACACTAATCCTCAGTCCATACTCCTCCCAGTTCATCAGTTGAGGTTTGTCTCCTTGAACTAAGAACAACTTCTTCCCTGCAATTTGGGACTCACTCAGACCTTCCAAATTATCTGTAGGAAAGTATATTAAGTGAAATTATGCATTGTTAAAATGTGTATGTAATTATGGACAAAGATGAGACAATGAACCATAATTCATGTAAAGCTACACTGAATGGTAATGTACAGTACATGAAGCAACTTTTAAAAATTCATAAAAAATTAATTTTGATTGGAACCAGTTCAAACTTTCTACGCAACATAAGTACATGTATATGCATCAGAAAATGGAATAAAAATTGAATATTTTTTACTTTTTAATATTGGCAAAAGTTGGCCCAAGACACTGTACTATAGTACAGGGACTTTTGTCCCATTTTGGAGCAACTTTAAAATTTCATAAAAATCTAATATTGATTACAACTAGCTCAAACTTGAAACGCAACATAAAAACATATATATATATGCATCAGAAAAAGTTATAAAATTCTCTCCTTTTCAATTTTGGCAAAATTTGGCTAGAGACTATGTACTACAGTACAGGGACTTTCATCCAATTTTGGAGCAATTTCAAAAATTTGTAAAAAATCTAATTTTAATCGGAATTAGCTCAAACTTTCTACACAACACAAGTACATGAATAGGCATCAGGGAAAATTATAACAATGAAAAATTTTTTACTTTTTATTTTTGACAAAATTTGACTCGAGATACTGTACTATAGTACAGGGACTTTTGTTCGATTTTAGTAACTTCAAAAATTTGTAAAAGAATTTAAATTTGATCAAAATTGGCTCAAACGTTCTATGCAACATATAGAACAAGTATATAGCATCAAAAAATTAATGAAAAAATCTATACTTTTCATTTTTTGTAAAGTTGACCTGAGACTACATGTACATTACTAATAATACAGGGACTAACCTTGTGATGGTACAAGATAGTTGAACTGAATTTCTTTGTCAAGAGCTAAAGTATAAAAGTGATAATAAATAAATAAATAAATAATTACATACTTGTTTGTGTCGTTTGTATATTCTTTGTTTTCAGTTTCAATTTGAGTCTTAACTTCTTTTGAATCTTGTACAGTCTCAGTCTCTTGGAATATCTCAGTCTCTTCTTTCTGTTCTACTGGTACCATACAATACAATTTATTAATAATTATTAATAATAAGTATACCATTATGATCTTTAAGTAATGACATTAATCTTTCATACTCCAGTATCAATGCTTTCCTTTGTTCTAATTATAAGAAGAGGTCATTAACTAGTAATTAATAATGTGTGTGGGTGTGTACATACTTTGAAATGCTTCATTTTCATTTTTAATCTTTTGAATTTCACTCTGTAATTCTACAAAAAGTAAAGAATGTTTGTATAGACAACATTAAAACACAAAAATACACACATACCTGATTGAGTGATAGTGTATTCACTCTGAACTGATACTTGTTCTAATTCTTGTTGAAGATCTTCAATCTTTATTCGTAATTCTTCTTTCTCAATTTTCTCTTCCTTTAATTCCTTTTGTAGTTCCTCCAGTTGTTTATGAGTAAGTTCATTGTCTGTAGTATAATAATGATTGGAGTATATCAAATAATAATTGTAAAATCAATACACTATATAACCTGATATTAATTTTTCATTTTTGTTTTGTATTGGGTTTCAAGTCTTTAGTTTCATTGTTGACAGATACTTTTATAGCTTTGACAGCTGGACAATTTAAATTGCTATAACATATACATGTATGTGTATGTAGTACTATATGTATGTGCATCTAAAAAACGATTTCAATAGCAGTTAAAAGTAATTTTCACATTTTTGTCAGTGTTTGGTCCTTAGAAAGGCTTCACATTTTTAAGCCAACTTTTTATTTACAATTAAGGTGTGTAGGCATGCAGGTTGATGTACACCTATGACTTATAGCTATGAAGCTTTGAATAACCACGTACATGCAGTACTATTGTTACAAAAATACATTTAGCCGGGTATAGTTGTATCACTTCTACCAGTATAGCTACAAAAACACTATGCAAATCATGCATAAAAACATCTGATTCTAATCATTCAGGATCATGAATCACAATTCAGGAATGACCTGGGTGTCAAGTCAAATATAATAAATAATACCTGATACTATATACTCATCAGTAGGCAAATCGTTGATTTCATATGTATACATTTCATTCTCAACTGATGATCCTGTATGGAAATGGAAAATTATAATGCAGTTAATAACATAACTTAGGATAATAACAAGATTATTTCATTATGTTTTAACTCACCCTTACCATTATAAGCATAGCCAACAAGTTTGTCATAAAAATGTCCAAAGTAATACTGAAGTACTATTTTTAAACTTTTTATAGTCATTTCTTCCCATCTGTCATTCAGTTTAATAACGACTGGTTTTGTTTGATTGCTAGTGGTTGGTGAGGCTGCTGCTGGTAATGATGACAATTTCTCTTTGATTATTGTTTGTATGTGCTTCAATTGTGATGATTCTGAGAATTTATTAACCCTATCAATGTATTTAGCTAGTTCATTATGAATATCATCTGATGAGGGGATGAATTGGTGCACTAAACGCTTGAGTACTCCAAAATCAAAGAAACTACAATTAGATGTAATTGCATTAAATATAGTGCAAATGTTAATTTCTGATAACATTAATTCCTTCCCCAAACATTTTTTAACATAAAATGCTATATCATCTGCTTCCAATTTCCCATTGGAAACAAGCTCTATAAAACGTCTCCTTATTTTAGTGAGAAGACCAGTAAACTGATCATCTAGTGATTCAATATTGCACACAACTTCATCCTTTGAACTGAGTTCTATTACAGTTGAACTATTTATAGAGTGGAGCTCAACATGCATTAACTGTGATTGGACTTGTACTAGTGATTGGTGTACAGCCTCAGCACCTATTATGCTTATGCTACCTCCTTTAGTTCCTAATCAAATCAGATGATGATTAGTTGCATTAATTATGTAATTTATGTTACACTCACTTAGTTTTTCCATTAGTTTAGATGCCATGTCATTCAGTCCTACTTTCTGTAGTGAAGTAATGAGAGTAGAGAACACACTGTTAGGATTAGGATGACACTCAAGTGTTGCTAGTACTGAAGAGAATATTTTATTAGCTCTATCATAAGAATTGAGTCCAGTGGCTCCAACAGTAACATATACTGCTTTAGGAATGAGATCAGATGAAAAGAGATGATTGTTTAACTGAGAAATAACTGGAGCATTTCCTGCCCCCAGATCAACAAGATCAGCTAATATCTCTTTCATTGTAATGAATTCTGGTGACTGTGTTCCTTGTATTACTAATGGTGCAGTTGATGGAGTACTAGTAGACTCTGTTTGTGAGGGTTGTGTAGTTAGTGATGGTCGGTGTGGTTTAGGTGCTGTTGGAGGAGGAATTTTGACTTTTCTTTTTAAATGCAATGAACCTAATTAATACTAAAACATAGATCATGCAGTTGACATGTTACCTTTTATTATTCCAGTGGTTCTCATTTCATGTAGCAGTGTTGGATGTTCTTCAAATGCTCTTATAAGAAGAGACATTCCTTCATGATCATTAACAGCATTTCTAATCTTTCTTATAGTATCAGCATCAAGCAGTGGTAGAGACTCCTCCAGTTGTCCTTTGATCAATAACTCATGAAACTCTATCAATTCAGATACTGTTAGTCTATCATCAGGTATATCCATTAATGCAATAGGAGAGAATGGGGGACCTCCTATCAATGGCTTTTTTGTACCAGGAGGAGGAGCTGGTCCTGTTGTTGATGAAAAG